ATAGATAGATAGATAGATAGATAGATAGATAGATAGATAGATAGATAAAAATTGAGGATTCTCAAGGCCACTGATAAAGGGTGTGGCTGAACTCTTCTGCCACCTTGTGACTGATTCCATTTTTCCCTACTAGTCAAATTCATTTTCTAGGAACTTAAAATAGAAATTGACTTTTCAGAGGAGATCTCTGCACAAAACAAATGTGAGGACAAGAAGACACAAAGAATGGCACATCTCATCACTAAACTCAAAGATGTATTTAATAATGCAATAGAGAATACTGATTACCCCGAAGGAAATAGAAACAGGTTGAGTATGATAATGTGACCTAGAAGGTTAAAGGGCAATTTTCCTCTCATAGTTTGTTCTTCTAATTCCACTTATACATTGACATCTTTTCCATGACAAAAGCCCAAGGTCTATTGATATCAGCATTTCCATGTGATTACATATAAGGCCTACTATAGAAATTTAAGTAATATTTTATAGTCTAGTTCCTTCTCCCTTCTCCAAAACAATACTTCGGCCTAAAATCTTGCTACATTACGTGCTTACTTCATGAGGAAACTAGGTGATCTCAAATGTCCCTTCAAAACTTTGACCTTGTACTCTTCAAGGTAGCTGTCTAGTCCCAGCTGCTGTAGTTCACCATATATTAAATAAAACATAACCCACTCCTCACAAGACACAACCCCTTTAAGATAGAAGTCATCCTGCAGCTCATGCTGGTGTATATTTAATCACTCCTTCTCATTTGGTAGCCCAAGGTTTCAGCAGCAGTGCTCTTTGTTACACATTTCTGTGGGCTGTATTGTTTCACAACTCACAGCATAGATGCACAGATTACTGTCTAGTAGTGAATTTTGATAAAGTTATCCAGCATACTATTTTAAGTTAAAATGATTGCAGAACTACCACTTTCAGTCAAACACTGACATTTTAATTCCTTGTTCTTCCCATATTTGCAGCAGAAAACATACATTCAGTAATTTTAATGTAAATGTTGTAATTTACAAAGAATTTCAGGGTCAAGCAGGGCCATTGTAACAGTACCTCCAACTCTATTATGCAATGATAGACCCCTTGGCCTTTGGGGAAATTATTGGCTAAAATAGGTTGGAAACAGATTTCCAACTCTAGGGATGGAAGCAAAATATTAAACCTCTACATGAAATATATAAAGAGAGGTTATAAAACATATCAGAGAAATGAATACATAATGAAACCTATGCTAATTAAATTATCGCAACTTAATTAAATTGTATGAGTGGGGAGCCCTTCTTAAAAGAACAGACCTGTTGCTGCTGTAATCTCTGGGGATTGCACAGAACCCAAAGTGAATTCTCTCACTGAGGGCTATAAAGAGTAACCAAACTAGTGGTTGACTTTTATTGATTGCATGATATCTGGCTTGACAGGCCATAATTCTGAGGCATCTGAAAAAAGTAAAAATCTGCCCACCAAATCTCTCATTGATTTAGGGTTTATCCTAACTGATGGCATGGAATATGACACTGATAGCTGGAAACAAAAGCAGAAAGAAGAGTGGTCTCTTCCTTAAGGCCAAAGTGGTGGCTAGAGAAGATTAGCACAGGACAGGAGAGCCAAGCAGACACCCCGTAATGCACAGACACCACCTGATTGCAAGGCAGCACCTACAGAGGTCATATGCTGAGAAAGAGGACAGGTACTATCTTCTGCTAGGTACACAAAAGCTTCATTGAGTATGCAGCCTCAGCCTGAGAAAGGCTGGAATCAGGAAATATACAGAAGAGCCATCTCCTGATGCTGGGGTATCCAGAAGCAGAGGTAGGGAATAAAGAAAACTCCTCTATTTACAAAAAAATAAAAAATAAAAAATAAAAAGCTGTAAGGAAAGAGAGAGAAATAGGCAGAAAGACAGCAAGAAATATTTTCATATTCATTAAATAAGCATCCAGGCATAATACACGGAGGTATTCAACACCTCTGTGATCTTGTATTTGGAGCTCTGCTATAAGAAATGTTCTTTGTAAACCTGAAAATAGATTTTATCATCACAGTGTTGCTGAATCCAGGTATGATTGTAAGAAATTTCAGATAGCACTGATCTTTTTTTTTTTTTTTTACATCAAAGACTATAATATAATGGTCTAACCAAAAAAAAAAAAGAATAAATAGCTTTCCCTGAGAGAAAACATAATTTGTGTTAGTCTCTAATTATTTACACACATTGTCTTCCATACAAAAGGTAAGAAACAGGAGATGTTGAAGTGTATGATTCATAGATGAGCATGGTAGTCTTGATTACAGGGGGTTCAGGCACAAACTAGAAGCTTGAATTGAAAAATAATAACTTAAATAACTATAATAAATGTGTTCCATTATATCATAACAAAGAAACTGGCACACATGAATGAACGAGCTATTTCAGATACAATAACTACAAAACACTAGTGGAAATAATGTAATGGAAAAATACAATAATAAGATGATCAATTCAGTGGACCTAGAAGCAAAATGAATAGAGTAACAGAACAAAGGATACATGAATATAAAGACAGGACAGTGAAAAACATGCAGAAAAATAAAGGGAGGTGAACTTATATTTATAGTCATAAGGAAACATGTACTTGCTGTAAGAGAAAGAATATGATAGAATTATTTGAAGGGGTAATAAGCAAGAATTTTGTTAAAATATTAACTTGCTTACTCAATGATTAGTAAATCCCAATCAGATTATATTATTATTATTATTATTATTATTATTATTATTATTAAGCTACAAAAACACAAACATAAGAAAGCTTTAAAGGTTACAAAATGGAGGTTTTATATAGTTGAACAGCAATAAAAATGATATCATTTCTTGTTAACAACCAAAGAACACCATTTTGATTTGTAATTTATTTTGAGTAATATACATAAAAATCCAAAATATTTACATAATATAGGGTGCCTTGTATTGATTCCATAAGTGCATAGCTGGTGTAATTTGGTGATGCATATCTAGTTCCTAGAGTGTGTATCATTTCTTTGTGATAGAATCATTCAAAATCCAGCTTCTACTTTGTAATTATACACTGCCAATCATGCTGTCACTCTACAGTGCATGGCAATCTAGAACAACCCACTCCTGACTGGATCTTTGTGTTCTGAGTATGTTCAGATGGAAAATTCATGACAATAAGAACACAAAAAATATGAGAAGTTTAACTGAAATTACATTACTGCATATTTTAAAATATTTCATATTTTATTCATGAACTTTGACATACTCACAGTTTTGGAATAAAGAGGAGTATTACAAGACCTTAGTAGCAGTAGACACAAGTATGGTTATGAGAGACTGAGGAAGGCAGCATTGTAGCTAGCCTTGATACATAAAGACTTTAAGAAAGAAAATAAAAGATCAATATCATATTAGTGCAAGTATTATGAAAAAATTACATAACAGTCAATGTAAAATGAAAAAAAAATAAATTCTACAAATTTTATTAATTCAAATTGGGAAGTAAAAACAAATGGCATACAAAAAATGAATCAATTCAGTCAATTTCTTCCTGATATTAATGACACTAAATGTACAAATAAAAACAAGGAAATCATTAAATTTGCAGGCAAATGGATGGAACTAGAAAAAGATCATCCTAGGTGAGGCAACCCAGAAGCAGAAAGACACACATGCTATACACTCACTTATAAGTGGATATTAGACATATAGTAAAGGATAAACATGCTAAAATCTGTACACCTAAAGAAACTAAGCAAGAAGGAAGACCCTAAGGAAGTTTCTCAATTCTTATTCAGAAAGCAAAATGAGATAGACATCAGAAGCAGGAGAAAACAGGGAACAGGACAGGAGCCTATGACAGAGCACCTTTGAAAGACTCTACCCAGCAAGGACCATGCATAGAGATAACCTAGAACTCTTGCATAGATGTAGCCTATAGCTGTTTAGTCTCCAAGTGGGTACCCTAGTAAGGGGAACAGAGTCTGTCTCTTACATGAACTCAGGGGCTGGCTCTTTGATAACCACCCCCTGAGGGAGCAGCAGTCTTATCAGGCCACAGGTAACCTGGGGTCGGGTGGAAGGAGAGGAGGACCTTCTCTATCAGTGGACTAGGGGAGGGACATGGGAGGAGAAGAGGGAGGTTGCGGGATTGGGAAGATGAAGGAAGGGGTTACAGCTGGGATACAAAATGAATAAACTGTAATATAAATAAATAAATAAATAAATAAATAAATAAATAAATAAATAAAGTAAAATAAATAAATAAATAAGAAATCAGTAGATTTTTAAAACACAAAACCTGAGAATAATAATGAAATCTTTAAATACACTTATCTGCATATTGAAGTGCCTGAATGTTCAATCAAACATACTCAGAGTGTTTCAGGGACAATGTTTTAGATGAAGGATGCATTTAATTTAGCAGAATTAATAAGTCATTTAGATGGGCTTTAGTCAGACAGGTGAAGGACTGAATAGATAAAAAGACTGGCCTGTTCTGTTTAAGAGGAGATGTTGTCTCCTGCTTGATGGGCTTCTTTCTGGCATACCAATGTTTTTCTCTACCTTGAACTGAGCCTGAATGTTAGTCCACTTTGGTTCTTAGAGATGGCTAATTCTAACTGCAACTGCAACATCAAAATCTGAGGTCGTTGGATCTTCAGATGCATATTGTAACTAAACCACTGGTTGTCCCGAACATAAGCATGCTGACACACAACCTTCAAATTTCAACTATAATGAGACAATTTAGTCTCTCTTTCTCTGTTTCTCTCTCTTTCTTTCTTTCTCAAATAGAAATATGTAGACAACCTTGTCTAGCTGTGGTGTTATTTCCTGTATCATTGTACATGGAAAAGTGTCATTTGAAAAATATTATTAAAGTGTCAAATGTAAAAATGTGAAAAGTGGGTCATTAAAGACTTCTTTAAATGTTCTAAGTATACATACCATAGTCTGTAGTTAAGTTCTGACATTTGACACAAAACCTGTTTATAATAAGGTTTTGACTATCTATGAACACATACATACAGAGTTATTTTAGTACACATAACAGAAAGCAAAAGCACCCAACACAAAATCCAAAGCTGAGAATTTCAGAACACTGTGTTGGGTATCTGTTGCTTATCTTCCCTTATGCCTGTATATTTGGTTTACAGCTAGCTGCCATTTCCCAGCCCTATATAAGAATATCATAATCCTATCAAGAGGACAGTAGGATATCATATAAAAAGAAACAACAATGCATGCCTTTAATCCCAGAAATTAGGAGGCAGAAGCATGCAGATCTCTTTAAGTTTGAGGTCAGCCTGATCTACAGAGCAAGATTTAGAACAGCCAGCACTACACAGAGAAACTGTCTCAAAAAAAGTACAGTAAAAAGATAAAATTTTAGAAGCCAAAGCAATGTTTTCACCTAATGATTGCAATATTTCATCTTTTTAAGCTGAAAATTTATGAATTGAAAAATCATTAAGCCATGGACCATACCTATAAACAACTCACTTACATGGGTTCAGCTGAGAGAATAAGACCTTCACAAATCTTTGACCATAAGATTGATAATGAAAATGTCAAATTCCTGGTTTCTTCCTCATCTTTCTAAGCTGATGAGACAAAGACCCGGTAGGCTTTTTATCCTAGCAAAAGGGCCTCCGTTCTGGTTGACCAGACCAAAGTAGTCAGATATGGTCCAGGCCAGCCCTGAAGATGTTTACTTGAAATTGTGGGCCTATACATTCCTCATTCTTTCTCAAAGTTGAACAACTCTAAAATAGTGAAGGATACCTGCTGGTCTACCACCATAAATACCTGATTACATGAAGCTGGAAGGCTCTTGGCTCCCCTTACTTTGTTTAACTTGACCGATCCAAAATTAAGGGAATAGGATGCAATCCAGATCACCAAAAGCAGTTAAAAAATCTATTCTGCAGGGAGTCTAGCTAGCTGTGTGCCTTGCTCTTGTCTGTCTCTGTGAGTGTGTGTTTCCTCACTTTAATGAAGTTTGTAAACTGTCACTGCCTGCCGTGTCTGAGATTTCCCTGCCTTTTAATTCTTTAATTGTCAGAGGAAAGAAACCCAGTCAGGCCTCTAGTCAGTAAAACAGGGAGCAAAGGGTGTAAATAAACAAAGTATACAATGACCAAGCCCCAGAAAGCCAGGGTGGCCCTTTTAGTGTCAGTCAAAGAAGTTTTCAAACCATAAACACAAACAGATCTAAGAGGGCATTTTATAACAATTAAGGGGTCAAATAGAAAGACATAAACATATGCAATGTGGACAACATACCAAAAGCGTTAATGACATATTCAGTTTAATAGTTAAATTAAGTAAGAGAAATAAGTTCACACACATATTTAGAGATTTTACACTTCTCAGAATAAGTAAGCAAGCAATCAGAGTAAAAAATATTGTAAAACTATTAGATTAAAACTATCTACTCAGGATTTGTTTAGAACATTCTCTCAGCACAATAGTGCATTTATAAGATACTCTTGCTATGTAGCCTAGGATAGCTTCAAACTATTACTTCAAAGTAAATTCAGTGCCGGAAATTCATATGTTGGTATGAACAAATATGATCATAGTGTGACTATTACCTGATTATACTGGAGTTAAATTAGAAATAGATGTGATTAAATTTTCTATAAAATGTTGAAGTGTTTGATAATTAATAAAATTTGAAATATTCCATGAGGCAAAGAAGCCACACAGAAAATTATTAAAAAAAATGAATTAATTAAAAAAATGCTGAATGGTGTAAGATGCTAGTATAGTAAAGATTAATTATTTACTGTTTTAATGAATGACCTATGCGTGCATATTTACAATACAGAAAATGAATCAGGCATAGTGACAAATGTTCTTCTTACTACCAGCACTCAGTAGACAGAGGCATCTCTGTGAGCTCAAGGCCAGCCTGGTGTACATAATGAGTTTGGGACAATCTTTTGGTTGTGTTTTATTTTCATTGTTGTTGTTGTTGTCAATTTTTACCTTGTATAAAAATAAAATAAAGAATTCAGAAAAATAATAACCAAAATCAATTTAAGCAGAAAATGAAGA